GTTTAAAACCATATTATCAGATTTATCCAGATCATTGTTTCGTTGATCCAGAGCTTCTTTCTAGGTTGATAGATTGAATGCATCCTATTATTAAAATAGTTTAATATAAGTCACAGCTTATAAAGCCTGTCCTAAATAACTTTAATATCAGCAGGATTTCGAACAAAATGTGCTGCTCTAAAAATAATTTAAAACCGATTCCGACCCTTATTGCCATGAAAACATCTTAAATTAAAAAGCAGATCAGTCCTCCAATAATCATTAATTCGATTTTTTTATGTTCTCATATGGAGCATTAACCCTAAAAATACTTTGGGTGTAGAAACTGCAATTGGTTTCCATCTTGTTATTTGATATTGTTCATCACGTGGAATCAAAAATATTTCTTTAGCATATTTATTTGTTTCATCAACATCATCATCAAGTTAAAAAAAAAACTCTCATCTGCAATGAGAAAAAATTAATCAATTGAAATATTTTTTTCTGGCCTTTCAGCTTTCTACCCTGAAAAAATCAAAAATTTTCAGGTTAAGTTCATTATTGTCCACTTAAATTTACGTTTTTGCCTATGCCAACTTTTTCATTATTAGATTAATGTTGATCAATATTTTTTCCATCATAATCGTTGTCAGCTAGAAAAACAATCAAAAATTAACAGATGATTCGTCGCTCTGGTCGTCTTCTAGAGCCTCTATAAGATTTTCCTCACTATCTTAGTATGTAAGTAAATATTCAACTTCTTCGTTTGTTAGGCATTTTCATATTTCGTGAGCGTATTTTCAGTTAGCAATTTTGGTTATTTAGCACGGGAATTTCCCGATTGATAGTCATCGGGCATTTTGAACTAACAAGAATACTCTCCCAAACACCAATGCGTTTAGTAACGTAAAATGGTTTGGCTATATGCTCCCGAAATAAGAAATATACCACTTAAGTGCTCACGGCTCACCGAGTACTGAACGAACAGTATCATGCTGAAGTGTTAATTAGGACTTGTATAAAAGTAAGAAATCGTCAGTAGATAGCACGTGAATAATAAAAGAATACAAAATAAGTTGTTTCTTGCTTCTTTTTTACGATCATAGAACACTCCGGCCTTTCGCAAATGCAATTTAAGTTCTTTTTCCTTCTTTCTTAGTTCTTCGAAACAATGGAGGCTTTGATGAATTCTAGAGGTATATGTCTTTGAAAGATTCTGAATTTGGCAGATACTATACCAAAAGTATTTTCTACCTTTACCCGAGAACGAAACAATTCTTAGTTAAATATTCTTTCCGGAGATCCTAGTGTGTGATGACCTGAAAAAGGTTTCATTATATGTGTACTGAGAGCAAATGCGCCATCGCCTAAAAATACATAAGGCATATACTTATCGCTATTAGGTAATGGACTAGAAAGGGGTAAATTCAAACTATTAGATAATAGTTTTTGGCAAAAAACACTTTGGTTAAATATTCCACCATCACTTATTCTCTAGTGTTCCTTTATAGTTGATGTATTCCTTGTGTAGAAATGAAGTGTAGAAAGTTCCTTTATAGTTGATGTATTCCGATCCTGAATGTTAAGGTAACTGTATAGTTACGTGTTTCCCATCAATAGCTCCAAGGCAATGGGGGAAGCTAAAGTCCTGTGACTTAGAAATCCATCCTTCTGCAGTTTCAGGCATCTTAAATAATTTAATAAATACAATATAATAATTATTTTAACAATACTAAAATAATTAGGATAACTGTAAACTATTTTTTTTTCTATTACAGTCCTCACAAACGATACATAATGAGCAAACAAGCACGAATACAGACTTAAATGCTTCTGTACCTACAACCAGCAGCTAACTCGAAGTTGTACCTAGACTAGCAGCAGTTTCAAAATTAATAAATTAATAATTCCGGTTAATAAACGCATGCTAAAGATCCGCCAGAATTAGCAAAGGCCAGTAGGGAAATGACAAATGCTTTTTCTACACTTAATAAAGCTCTTACCAACAAAAATGCAGCACAAGAAGATAAATTTGATTTGTACTGCAAACTTCTCGCAAAGAAATTGAAGAGTCGGCGGGAAAAACGATGAATGTCGCAAATTTCATAATTTGCTCTTATAGAGCATTTTTTATACTTTAAATTTACACTTACTAGCTATACTAGTTATAGTTATAGTTATATATTAGAAAACGTTCAAAAAGTATCAAAATGAAATTGGAACAAGCCAGATACAAAAAGAATTCATCTATTAATTTTGATATTAAAAGCACTATTAGTTTTATAATAAAAAATAAAATTTCAATAAAACGTTAGCTTTTATGGGGGAAAAACGATGAAGCTCCACAGATTCAGTGGAAAGAAGTCTTAGACGTTATTTTTTTAACTTTTATAAAATTAAAGACTTTTATATTATTAGTTGTATTAAACAATTTAGTAACATTAATAATACATACATTTTAACAATAATTTGATAATTTTATGTGTTTGTTTTCTTCTCTGCCTGCTTCTTATTTTTTTTTTGACTGACTTTGGCGTCTCTTTGATTACTTTTATTTTATTTTTTAGTATTTTAACTGGTTTCTTACTTTCTACTTTTTTGATGCTTCACTCTGATGTATTTTTGTATAGTAAATTTAACAAAAAATCTTGAGCCTTTTTCCCACAAAACTTGGCTAACTTTGTCAAATCCCGATATTTCTCAATGGATAGTGGTATCAATCCTAAAAACAAAACATTAATTAATAGAACGTTTATTTAATTAACTGACAAAAGTAATACCTGTATACAAATAATCTGGAAGACAAAACTCCATGGTACTTTTGGTAGAAAATGGTTTTCCTATTATATCGACGGACTCCCATGCGCCATTGTAAGTAACCCTATAATATACCAGCCTTGGATGCTGCACTGATATTTTCAGTTCTCTTATTGGTCTAGATGGAAACGGACACTTCTGTTTATATAGTGGATTTAAATGTTTATCCCAAGATCGAAAATATTTCTAAGGCACTTCTTCAACGTCAAAGGGTTGAGGTTTTACACGAGATGCTCTTATGGGCTCGAACCAATCATTTGGGTGTTCTGTTCTTGTTTTTTGATTAACCATACCAAAATCCTTATCGCACTCTAGTACGAATGTCCCCGAATCGGAAATGTTATAAGAACATCTTCAAGCCTTTTTTCATAGTAAATCACATGATGCAGAAAGCGGAACATAGTATAATTTTTATTTTGCCCTCCACATGAATCTGCAAATAGTTTTAAACTTTTCACATTAGCGGGTAAATAGTTATAGAGAAAATGATGAAGCAGTGTGCATACGTTATTACTTCCTTTTTGGCCCACGGTTTCTGGATAGCCATAAAATACACTCTGTTGTGATGATAACACGTGTGCGTTAAATATGTATAATGAGAGTTGTCTGCTATAATAAACGTCGTTGGTGGATATATTAGATATAGTCCAAGTCCATGCAGATAGCTTCAACTGCAACATCTACTCTTGCAGATAATTTGGCCTGTATTTTTCTCTGGTAAAATGTCTCAGCTTTAGTTAAATGAAGTTGTCTATCAAATTCAAGCCTCCGAAATTGTACATCTAAACTATTTAGTTCGTTGTCTTCTGTAGAATCGTAGGACATATTTATATGTGGAAAATTTTTTCTTAAACATAGAGTACATTTTGGTGATGTTTAGTTCTTCAGGTAGATATGTTTTAGAAGTTTTTGAATTGCTATAATGGCTTGATCTGCCTTTAAAAGAGGATATGTGTTTACACACGTGGTCAATTACAGAGTTTGGAAGTTTGTGTGGCCTATTTTTATGTAAACCTCTTTTATCTTTTGCTGAGCTACCAGAACACTTAAGTGACCTTTGAATAGATTGTACCCGCCGACCAGAAATTCCATGCAATGCGAGAAAAGCTTTGTAGCAGACCTTAATGTCTAACAGTGTGTCGTCGTTACTTGCATCAGTACACCTTACTCTAAATGAATATGAGGCGTCATTGAATTTTTTTACGCCAGACTCTGGATTTTTTGCACGACGTCTCTTTACGGGTACAACAGTAATCAAGCCAGCAAGATACGTGTTTTGTTCGTCATATGTAGAATAATTGTTGTTAAAATTTTTTAATATTCGCAACTTATTTTCATCCGAGACATTTACGAAACAATTTAAACGCTTACATTTGCAGTCAGGGCCTAGGTCATGGCTAGATAACCTCAGTTTCTTAGCAAGGATATATATATATATATATATATATATATATATATATATATATATATATATATATATATGTCGAAAAATCATAATTTAAAAATAAAAATCGACCTGTTTCAGGATTTTTCCTTAAAGTCGCTGGATCACGAAATAACGAATTTATTCCAAATATTTTGCACCATACTGTATGCAAACTGGATGCATTCTTATAATTACCTTGTCCAATTTCGATGAATACTCTGTTCGGTACACTTTTCTATACAAATTAAAAGCGCAATACAAATTAATTGCGGCGGATGCTACGGTCTCCACATCCAAATCCATAATCAGAGTTTACTCTACTCACTGAAAATGTTAATGCAGACTGATCAACTCCACCAACGTGTAATCACTGTTCTTACTTGGCCCAACTCATTTGACAAGTAGTTGGCCCAACGTGTATTGGAGCCATAAAGCTAATACTACATAGTGTAGTATTGATTTATATATGATTTATTCTGGGTCAAATGACCCATTAAAACTCTCCCATGGGCTTTTAGACTATAAGTATGGGCAGTGAGTGCGAATTTTTTGTATAAATAAAAAAATGTTTCTCATTTAAACCACATTGTATCCTAATGACAAACATTTATGTAAAAACACAACATAATCTTTTTTAATTTATGTCAATAAAATTTTAGGTATGTTGTTAACCTTGTACGCCGAACATAGTGCAAGAAGACGAATGTAATCGACTGTATTACATAATGACTTATTATTATAATATATAAGTGGATTCAGCTTAACTGATTGAAAATGAATTCAGTACAGATTTAGTTAATAGAAGCGGCAGTTGTTGTGTGTGCTTGATTAACTGTATCTTATTTTTTTTATAAAAATGACAAACTTACCGCAAGATGCGTGTCAATTGGTCGAAAAGTCATTAAACCAATCGTTGGATAATTTAGATGTAACTATACATGCAGGTAATAAAAAAGGTGAAGGATATATCGGAGAAATAATATTTGCCTCTTTCAAAAATAGAAAAACATTAAAAGAGGATCACCTCGTCATTAAAAAGGTGTTTTCAAGTGATAAAGAAGAAACAAAAGCTTTTTTATCGAATTCATATCTCAATGAAATTAACTTTTATATAAACATCTGGCCATCTTTCAAAACATTTCAAAAATCGTTTATTTCGACAAAGCTTTTAGACGTAGTACCTAAATGTTATGGAACATCATCTATAAGTGGTAGTGAAAAAGTTATTTTAGAAAACTTAAAGTTTAGCAATTACGATGTACATCCGAAAAAAGTTCATGTTAGTGATTCATTGTACGGAGAAATTTTTAAATTGTACGGACAATTCCACGCAATATCGTTTGCAATGAAACATTATCAGCCAAAGGAGTATGAAAAATTAGCGAAGCCTTTGCACAATACCTGGCTGGGATTCTTAAATACGGACCTTTGTACCAGAGGCATCATTGATACATTTAAGGCTCTGGAACAAATTCTACAGTTAAAAAACGAACACGATTTATTAACTAAAATTCAGCCATATGTCAAAAATGGAGTCAAAATATTTGAAAATGGTATAAAATATAAGGGAGCTTATTCGGTTATTATTCATGGAGATTGCTGGAGTAATAATGTGATGATAAAGTATAATGTAAGTGTACAGTTTTTACAACCAGTAAGTATTTTAGATTTTAGAGTTTTCAAGCCCATGATCCTCTCGAATTGTGTTTGTTGTACAAATTTCAATCTTTAAGCATTTGGTTAGACATTTACAAAAATCTGGGTTTAAAGTATGGCGGTTTTATTTCGAATACTGTAGTTAATGGTAGTTTAGGAGTTGTATATACTTTTTGATAATTTTTAAAATTGTTATATCTTTTTGCATAGAGGTGATATTTTAGGTATTTTATATTTATTTACCAGGTGTAGATATTTAAGGAGCAAAGATCTATATTTGCTTTCTACAATGTCTACAATTATTGACCATATCAAACACTTGCCTCCAAGCTACTCTATCCAATAGTGTTTGTGTTCAGTTCGTTATTTTCAGTGTCCAAATTTTTTTTTAATTGGTCCTGCTTGCATGATCCTATTGGAGATCTTCCTTTTGGTCTTTTTCCTTTTGGTATCCACTCCGCTAACTTTCTTGAGCTGCGATTTTTGATTTCCTGAGAATATACCCGTATCACATAATTGCCTGTACACTTATTATTCTTACAATGTTTCCCCTGTTCAGTATATTATGTATTTCAGAATTCATTAATAATTTTTATGATTTGGTTTTTTTTTTCTTGTTCTCCTAAATATTTTTTCTTTCGTAGATCTTTAAAATTTCTTCTTATTTGCTAGCAAGACTGATAGTTTTTGCTGGGTATGTTATTGTTGGTCTTATTATTATTTTATATTTTCTCAGTTTATGTTTTTACTTAATTTTTTATCTTTTAATATATTTTTATTTCGATAAAGCGCTATATAAAGTTCCATTATTCTTTGTCGTATTTATGTTCTTTTATTATTTCTATGTAATACTATTCCAAGGTATTTAAGTGTTTTTACTTCTTTGAGGTAATTCTTATGAAAATTGGATTATATGGAGTTTGTTCTTCCTGCTACAATGACTATTATGCTATTTTTGTTGCTCTTCGTATGTTAAGCAGCCTCTTCTTTTAGAATTGTAGATTTTATGGGTGACTTTCAATAATACGTTTTTTCCATAAAAGATCATCTTACTTAGTTACTGACATCATTTTTTTTATTCTTCATACATCTTTTCGTTCATCCATAATCGTGAGATGAGATTTTATACCGTTCCATTTTTAGCAATTGTGGATTTAACTCTAAATAAGTCAATTCTTGAATAAATTTGTTGCGGTATAGCGTATGTTTTTAAGTCTGACAAAGTACTTTTGTACTTTAATTGTTTGACAATTTTGTTGTTGTACTTGCCAGAAATAAATATTATATTTAGATTGGTTCTATTCCAATAATAACAATACTTATTTATCAATATATTTGTTAATCTATCTTGCTAAACAAATATATAGATATACAGGGTAATTGAGTAGTGTGATAAAGCTTAGTAGATCTGCTATAAAAATAGATAGCAATAAAAGTTAATAAACAAAAATTGTATCAGCTGTGAGGTTTACATTACAAAATTAGTCAATGAGAGTTTTACAGGGTGTTCGATAACATAGTGGCAAACCAAACTTTTGTTTCTTTAAATGGAAAACTATATATTTTATTCTATACTAAAAGTCTTCTCCACTTCCTCATCACTACAATATAAACTTTTATTATGTTATACCGCGTATTTACAAAGTTATATCCAATTTTCTATAAAAATGGTAACAAATTTTTCAAAAACCTTGGTATATGTAATTTTTTATATTGAATACAGTGTGTCAAAATGCAAGTACATTATTTTATAAGTAATTTTAAATAGAACTTCTTATTTTGATTAATTGTATGTCATTATCAAAAAGTTCCGTTGCCATACTTTTTATTTTAATATTCCTACATCTTAATTTATTAGTTTTTGAAATATTTTTAGTTTTTAAAAGCGAATTATTTATTAGATGTCTAATTTTTTCTAAATTTAATTAAGCCATGAATGAATTGTCTTAAATTGACAGTTCACTATGACTGATTATTAATTCCGTATTCAATATAACAATGTATAGTCCAGGCTGTGAGGCCGCTCCCGTTGGGAAAATGTTTCTGATTCGGTTTCTTCGCGGATTCCGGTTCAAAAATGTCCCCTTTAAACAAATCTGAAGGGTGCCGGGCGAAATTTTTGGGCAGGCATTGTTTAAACAATTTTTTTAAACACATTCCAAAAATATTTTTTTTAATCTGGAAGACGTTTTTTAGGTTATTTGGTTCATTTTAAACAAAAAAGGTTTTTTATCATTTTTCTCTAAAGTTGATAGTTTTCGAGTTATAAGCGATTTAAAGTCTGAAACCGCGAAAATACGCATTTTTGAGGCTTGAAAACACATATGTAAATTATTATTTTTGAGGTTACCAAGTGTCTAAATTGAAGTTTAAACATTCAACTTCAAGATTGTGAAGAGTAATCGGGGCTAATTTTTATTTAGACCGTTGTTTTTTAATTGTTAAGTATACGCGTACACTCGATTTTTCAGCCGGCGCGGCGGGCTATCGTGCGCCTCTATGGTACTTATGCATAGTTTATATACTTACACATACTTACAAATAATTATTATTTATTGAGTATATATTTATTTATATCAATTGAGTTATAATATAAATTTCGTAAAATATAAACTACATTTTATTTAAAGTCTAAAATAGTTACATAAAATAATTGTACAAAAGATTGTTAAATAACACACTAATATCACTCAGTAAAAGTATCTTTGTTTTCACAAAAATCTAAATCACATCCACATAATGGTACACAGTTGACATCAGTTGCAAGCATTAGTTTTGCAAGTCTTTTTGCATTAACACGGTTTCACCAGTATTTCTGGTAATGAGTTTTGAGTTATGAATCTTGGTAATAACCCACCACTATCAGACATATAATATCCATATTGTGTAAAATCGAGGGTTTAATAGCGAGAATATATGGCATTTCGCCAAATATATGTTTGAGCGAAAGCTCTTAACAAGTGTTTGTAAAGTGCGTCAGAGATACAAGGTATATTAGCTAGATTAATTCCTAAGCCACATGATCTGTTAAAAATTGTTTTTCTTGCATCGTTTACGGATTCTCCCATTTTGCCTATTAATTGCAAGTACAGTTTTGCTAGTGTTTTAAACTGTGTAATGTCAAACGCACTTATTCCAAACACAGAAAGTGCTCCTAAATATAGTTTGTCTGAATCAATTAAATCCAAAGCCTTTTTTTCGTACCTACTTTGCTTGTTGTGTTGCAGCCTGTAATTACATGTAATTTGCGATAGTATATTGTTTTTAAACACCGCGCAACATTAAAATTAAGTTTACTAATATTAATATTTACTGCATTGTATTATTTTAATAATAATTTAAAAATATTATTTACAATTGATATAAATAAATATATACTCAATAAATAATAATTATATTGTTCAAATTTGGAGGAAAAAAAAACTATACGGTTATTACATTGCGATGATTGATTTATTTAATTATTAGCCCAATGAAAATAATTAATACCTACATAAATAAATTATGGATAAACTTCAAGTATTTATTCGGATTTTTTTGCGTAAGTATATGTAAACTATGCATAAGTACGATAGAGGCGCACGCTAGCCCGCCGCGCCGGCTGAAAAATCGAGTGTACGCGCATACTTAACAATTAAAAAACAACTGTTTAAATTAAAATAAGCCTCGATTACTCTTCACAATCTTGAAGTTGATTGTTTAAACTTCAATTTAGATACTTGGTAACCTCCAAAATAATAATTTACATATGTGTTTTCAAGCCTCAAAAATGCGCATTTTCGCGTTTTTCAGACTTTAAATCGCTTATAACTCGAAAACTATCAACTTTAGAGAAAAATGACAAGAGACCTTTTTTGTTTAGAATGACCCAAGAAACCTAAAAAACGTATTCCAGATAAAAAAAATTTTGGAATTTGTTTAAAAAAATTGTTTAAACAATTTCTGCCCAAAAATTTCGCCCGGCACCCTTCAGATTTGTATAAAGGGGACATTTTTGAACCGGAATCCTCAAAGAAACCGAATCAAAAACATTTTCCCAACGGGAGCGGCCTCACAGCCTGGACTAGTAACAAATAAAGAAAGAAAAATAATTTATTATTAATAAATTATACAAAAAAAAAAACAACACAAACATACATTTATGCAGAAATTTAAAATCACTTTTAATGAAATATTTTTAATATTTACTTATCTCTCCTCTATATTTTCTCCTTCGTAAGGATGTAGTAGTGCCATGTAATTTGTTTGACTATTTCTGGCCAATTATCTCTCTTCTACCCAGTAACCAGTCATGTCCTTTATTTGGTCGGACCATCGTACTGGAGATCTTCCTCTGGATTTTTTATCCGATATGTTACCTTTAACTACCATTCGCTCCATGCCTTCTCTTCTACTACTTTTACCCACATTTTAAGTGTTATTAGACGCTTTGAACCAACTTTTTTTATTGTCCAAGTTTCTGAAGTATGGGTAGCGATAGGAAATATCAATGTTCAAACAAGGCGTAATTTTGTGGTTTTTGTGATGTTTGTGAACGTGTTCGACAGCACGATATTAACTCTTACATTAGCAGTATTATTTACATATAGTTTTTGTAATAAATATATGAGATGGTCTGGTGTACCAAAAGTATATGCTTCATTTGGAAGGCCTTGGACTAGTCAACAAAGCATAAATATGTTTCTCGAATCCGCATTGTCATTGGGGAATTTGTCATTTGGCCACTTTCCGGTATTCCACATCTCATTGCAAATTCTAGGCATACTTATCTCCCCAATTCTTCCATTTCTTTTAGTGTTTCAGCTGTTATTCCATCTTCTCCATCTGTTTCTCTAAATTTGAGCTTTTTATTTGCTGCCTGAATTTCTGATTTCATTATTTGAGTTTCTCTTTCATATCTCGTTTTCTCTGTATGATTCTGTGGGTCATTATTAAAAAATAGTACTTCGCAATATCGTTTCTACACCTCTCCGATACCGTCTGAGTTTGTTATAGTATTTCTACTATTATTTTTAATGGTCTGTGTATGCGGTTTGAATTCTCTTGCTAGATACTTTCATCATCATAATCAACTAGCCTCTAACGTCCACTGCTGAACATAGGCCTCTCGCATGCTTTTCCACATAATAGTCCGATTTTGCGCCATCTGAATCCAATTTGTAGTCACTCTTTTTATGTCATCTGTCCATCTCGTTGGGGGTCGACCTCTATTTCTGTGAGCTTGTATTCGGGGTCTCCATTCCAAAATTCTTTTTGTCCACCGGTCATCAACTGATCTTGCTACATGACCTACCCAGTTCCACTTTAGTGTTGTTATCCTTTCAATAACGTCTGCTACTCCTGATCTTTTGCGTATAGTAGCATTGGGTATTCTATCACGTAGAGAAATCCCTAACATAATTCTCTCCATTGCTCTTTCCGCAACTTGTAGTTTACTCACTGTTGTTCTTGTGAGCGTTAGAATTTCTGCGCCGTAGGTCATCACTGGCAAAATACATTGATTAAATACTTTTCTTTTCAGACACATTGGAATCTTAGACCTAAAAATATCCTTCATCCTTCCAAATGCAGCCCAAGCGAGGTTTATTCTTCTTTTCAGCTCGATTGTTTGGTTGTCTCGACTTATTCTGATCTCATGGCCCAAGTATTTATAGGAGTCAACTGGCTCAATATCTTTGTCTTCTACTGAGATGTTTTTGTTGTGGACTAAATTTGTCATAAATTGTGTTTTTGAAAAATTTATTTTAAGACCAACTCTTTTTGTGGCAGTATGGAGTTCTTGGAGCATTATCTGTGCCTGATCATAGCTGTCTGCAATAAGAACGATATCATCTGCAAATTTAAGATTATGCTAGGTACTTTACTTTTGAGAAAAGTTCTCTTGATTTCTGTTGGTCAGCATGTTCCTCTAGTTGTACACATTTTTTTAAATATAATTATTTTTGTCCCTTCTGCACAAGTGTTTTATAGTTGTATTTATGGCCCATATCTTTATTTCTTTTTGTTTTGAATTTGATGTACCGTTTCTAAGTTTTCGATTTTCTTCTACAAAATTAAGAATCTCTTCAGTCATCCAATTTTCTTTCCTAGCTGTTTTGTCTTTGAGATTTGTATTGTTAATGGCTTCAGCGATCCATTTATTTGTTTCTTACCACGTTTTGGAGGTTCCTCGTAAGGCAGTTTTAAGAAATATGATAAGCAGTTTTACAATAATTATTAAGTTATTTAGTACTTAGGTATATTTATTTTAAATTACCTGTTGGTGGTCACTAACCAACGAAAGGAGAAAGACTTATTCCAATTCTTGCTTTAATTTTATTTTGTTTATGACTCGTTATTATTATATAATAATAGTGTTTTTAATGTTTAATTATGTAAATAAATAACCAGATAATTATTAAAAATATAAAATTAAATTATTACTTGTTTGTTGAAATCTTATTGTTTATCCTGGCTTTTTTTAGAACTTAAAGAAAATAGAAGATATAAAGTTTATAGATTACCAAATGTGTATGCCAGGCAGTCCAGTATATGATCTATCCTACAGTTTTTATTCCGGAGCAAGCAAAGAATCATTAAGAAACTGGGAAAAGTATTTAAAAATATACCATAACTCACTGGAGAAATCGTTAAAAGGGTATAACCTGAAAGTTGATGATATATTCCCATACACAGAGTTAGTAAAGGAGTGGAAAAACAATGTACAATTTGGATTCATTATGAGTTTAATGATATGGGGTGCTAAATATATTCAAGAGGATGAGATCCGCGATTTGGATATAACCGAAGGTGATCTAGATTTACGAAACCTTAGTGAAGCTGAAGGCTATCAACAGGCTGTATTTAATTTAGTTAAACATTTTGATGAAAATGGATTTTTGGTTTCTTCTTAGAAGCTTATTTTAACACGTGTAGAAAAATAATTTAATTTAATTTACGTGATATTTTTAAACTGAATGTAAAATTGTATATAAATTAAAAATACGGATATCTATTGATTTTTTTATTAATCTATTAAAACCGGCAATCGACGATATTTTTTTGCAATGTAAAAAGTTGTTAATGGAGAATAGGATGTTCTAAAACAGGTGTAATATTGAAAAAAATATAAATATTTTAAATTTTTATAACCTTTTAGTACTATCATCTTAAATCAATGGCGTAAATACTAATTAACCGCCTGACAGATGGGTTTAACATTTTAGTGGATATTTTTTTGTTAAATATTTTTATGCAGAAGAATATTGCGATGACTTACTAACAGTATTAGTTATCTTAAAAACATAACAATTAATATAGTTTATTGGTATTTATTAAAATAAAAAACATATTAACAATAATGGATCGATTTCTTGCGTACATTTTTACGCTTGAAAAAAAGTGTGATAGAAATTAAACAAATGAAGGAATCTTGATAAAAATTTAAAATCGGCTTATGCAAATAGTAAGAAACATTAAAGTAAAAAAAAGAAGAAAATGTTAACACAATAAAAACTGACAGTCACTAAAGTTGGTAGAGTGTAGCGCACTCCAAACGAATCTTTTTCGCACATTCCAAGCAAATTGGGTTTTGACAATGAAAGCATACATAAGCTGTTCTTGTTTTCTTTTTATAGTGACAGTAAGCACAGTCCCTGCTTTCCTCTAATTTTTCCACTCTTACTTCTGGATGCCGTTAAGGTTCATCTATATCCAGTATCTCGCATATGCTCAACTTTAATTTTCTAGATAAAAAGGAACCTTCTAGTCTTCTGTTTCCTAAACATTGAGACATTAGAAGTTGAATAAGTCGAAACGCCAGTTTTTTATTAAAATTGGGCCTTTCTTAATAAGTATTATTTTTAAAAGACTAATAAAGAATAGTAATATAAGCATTTACAGTACTTATATAAAACATTCTGAAAAATATAGCCATAGGCCAAAGGCGAGTTCGACGACTGCTTGTAAATTTGGCACATTTTTCGTCTATTGAATCGACACCACCCTTTATTAAATTATAATCCACTATTATGTGTGGGTTTTTAGTATCTGTACTTTCAGTGGCTGCGAAGATGAGATAAGATAATGATAACAACATTACGGCTTTATTTTTATGTGTTGTGTGTGAAAGTAAAGTAATGTGTTTTGTAAAACCGTTTCCACTTTTCGTCGTCTGGTGGGCAAGAAGATAGTAGGAATTTCTTTACGATTTTTCCGGAGAGTTCCAATACAAGTTAGACCTTTACTTCTCAATACCTGTACTAGCTCTCTAGATGTAAACGAGTTGTCAAAGGTTATAGATCTGTTGGTCCCATAGAGATGAGTAGTTAAGCGCATAACAGCCTGTGTCGCCTTACTGTATCTTTTCTGTTCCTCTGTAAGTCCAGTACCAACAGAACTTTTTCTCGTTTATATATATATATATATATATATATATATATATATATATATATATATATATTGTTATGATATGTAAAATCGAGAAAAATATTGGTGTGTTTAAAATACTTCAAAGTTCAAAAAACATTAAAATAATTCAGATAAGTAGGATAATAACCAACAAACATTTCGAAGAAGGAAAGTATTTAAATTTTTGGATTACCTGTATTAAACAAAATGTAAGCTATGCATAAATTATTTTTCTTTGTTATACTATACTTGAGTGACCCGCATAATTTTAAATCCAAAGACAATTGAACCGGGTTTTCCAAATACATTAACGCAGTGATTAAAGACAATAGAAGAGATTTTAGAAAGAGGTTTTTGTTAGTTTTTAAGAATTGTAGAAAAATATTATTTGTAAATAAGTTTTAGGAAATTTTATAATTATAGGTAAAAAGTTGTTTGGTATCGAAATGAAAAAATCGGGGAATTGTGACGAGTTTTGATTGGCGGAGATTGAAAAAGGTGGGATAGGTATGTAGGAATGAAAGTTTAGCTAGATTTAGGAGAGAGAAAAGATAATCAGTTGGTTTCCAAGGGTGCAAGGCGAACGGCCGTTGTTCTCGGGTAGTTTCCCAGAGGTAGGAAGCAGTAGCAGTGAAAGTTTGTGAGTTTTCGTGTAGTTGGTGTATCTGACAGAAGCTGATCCAGTAAAATATTTTAAGTCATATTTTTCTACTTATATTCCAAGAGTCACTGTTCAGGCCAACGAGAGATTCAGTTTATCGTAAAGATATTCCAAGAGTCATTTTTCACTCAGGCCAACGAGAGATTCAGTTTATTGAGAGAAGAAGAAGCTAGCATAATTTGAACGATTCGTGCATTTGAAGGAGATCATTAAGGACGAGATACTTGCAATAATTTATTGTAAGATTGCTGATTACTTAGGGGGCGGCCACGAGTAAATATTATAGTCTACAAATAACAAGGATTTGGACCACTCATCATCAGAGAGAGATAGTTTTGTTTTCTGCAGTTTTTCTTTTATTGATAACACAATTTTTACACTTAATTTAGAAAGGATATAAATATTTTGATTAGGAGATTTAGAGTAATACTTGGATTTTGAGATTTCAACTAATATTGTTTGTACCATTAATTTTGAAGGTTCACGTACGTAGAACAAAATTTTGAGAATCACTATATGAGATTTTGTTTATCGAAAACATTTGAGTGTGAATATTATTTCATTATTTTTATTTCAATATATAGTGTTATATCATATGTGTTTTTTATTATTCCGGTATTCTTTGGACCTTACCTTTCACATGTAATAGCATATATATTGAAGCACGAATTTAACCCTGAGATAAGAGAATTAAAAAGTGTGATAGAGTCATAATCATATCTTTTAAATAATTTTAATTAATCAATTAATTAATTAGCTAATTAGTTGATTGGCGCACTAAGACTTTAAATATCACAATAATGATCTAAATGTACAAACGTTATTACAAACTTTTTACATAAAGAAGTCAAAGATCATTTTTTAAATAAATACATTTACATTGTCAAAAGCGATAAAGGTAACGTAACTGTTGTAATGTATAAAGAGGATTACCTACAAAAAACTGGAGAACTCTTAAATGATATTAAGTATTACATTACACTCAGAAGGAGTCCTGTTTGTAATTTGCAACAAGAAGCAAATTGTCTAGTATCTAAATTAAACATTAAGAAATTTATTGATAATAAAAAAGCACAAGAAATCAAAATTTATAATTCTATTGCACCACGGTTTTATGCTTTACCTAAAATACATAAACCAACTTTATCTATAAGACCAATTGTTTCATCTTTATGCCCTCCTAATGGACCAATAGCATAATTTAAACAACAATTTTTACATTAAAGATTCATTTGATTTTAGTTTTTTCATTAATAATTTCCAATTACCACAAAATTATGTTTAAGCTAGTTTTGATGTAACATCTCTTTTTACCAATTTACCTTTAAATTTAATCATAAGTAGTGTTGAAAAACATTGGAATGAGATTTCGCAACATACATACTAATATTGACTTATTACATTTTAAAACACTTATCAACTTTGTTTTTGATTCTAATATTTTTATATTTAATGGTGTCTTTTATAAACAAATTTTTGGTCGTCGTATGGGATCTAGTCTTTCACCCATAAGTAGCTATGTCATGGATGATGTTTTGAGTGATTGTATCAACAATTGCACTTTTTTTATTCCTTTTATTAAAAGGTATGTAGATTATTTAGTTTTGGCACTTCCAAAACACAAAATTCGTAAAACCTTTTTCTCATCATCCAAATAAGATGAAAATGAACCTTATAACAGGATTAAAAATACTAGTTTTAAAGCTTTCTCATTCAGATTATCTGCAAGAAGATCTTCAATTGTTAAAAAATATTTTAATTAAAAACTTTAATCTTCCAAATATGCTACATAGGATGTTTTTTTGTAATATTGTTAATATAAATAACAACATCATTTTTTGCTAAATCTCAGAACATTTTATCCAACAATTAGAACATATATTATCATTCAATACCTTTTATACCATCATTAACACCTAAATTAATACAAACACAAAGGTTGTTGACAATATAAAAATAGCAACAAAGAACATCAAAACCATTTCCATTATTATTATCCAAAACTAAGTATCCTATAGACAAATTAGATAAAACAAATGTAGTATACAGCATTAGTTGTACTCAGTGTAAAGCTGAGTATGTTGGTGAGACCGGAAGAAATCGTTCAAATCGCATTATTTCTCACAAAAGTGATTGCAGAATTAAGAAACCATCTTGTACTTTGGCAGAGCATGTAATCGACAAAGACAATATTATGAATTTTGATAATATTTAAATTTTATGTAGTGAAAGTAATAAATTCAAAAGGACTTTTTTGGAAATGGTTTGTATTAGCAAAAGTGTTAATCATTTAAACGAAAGGTTAGAAATTCAAAATCTAAGCAAAATTTATAATTATATTATTTCTATGTAATTTATATATGAAAGCAGTCAAATATCACATTTTGATATAATTTTCCATGTATTTGGTACATTTTTTTAGGCATCTATCAATGGTGAATAAATTCTCTTCTGTTTTGTTATTAAACAAAAAAGAATTTTTAAACAAAATTCAAACAAAAAAACATTCAAAAACATTTAAACAAAAAATGGCAATATAATGGTCAAAGATAAACATTTTAAGTTGGTATTTATGACATTGAGGCTTAATTGTAATTGTCGCTATATATATATATATATATATATATATATATATATATATATATATATATATATATATATATATATATATATGGAAACGGATAATGCGAGTGAATAATAAAAGTAAAAAGTCATGGCATGTCTCGCAAAACAAAAAAAACCAAAAATGGTATATAGATGGAAGGCTACCGTATATACGTATTTCTGACTATTGTTCGTCTTCAGTACGGTGCAGCCAAGTTAGAAAAGGAGCATATTAACTTGGGAAAGGATCACTACAGGAGCAATGCAATATTTACTTTTACTTTTAATTTTACTTTTACTTATATATATATATATATATATATATATATATATATATATATATATATATATATATAAGCAATGAATAAGTAGCAATATAGGCTGGAGTTTCTATAGGATAGCATGCATGACAGTCGTTAATCAATTCACTAAGAATTTCTGAAATTGGTGCTGCTGGATCTAACACTGTTTTCAATATATCAAATAAGTAATCTTCTTTTGACATTTTATGTATATTGTTTTGTGCGACAGAAATAACGTCATGGTCTCTATTATCTAGCACATCTTCATCAATATTATGCTCATCTTCACTTTCATAAAATATGATATGTTTTTCATATAATAAAATAAGCAGATATTTTATATATATTGTTTCCTGCGACATAAGAAATTTCATGTTCATCTTCAATTTTATAAAATATAGTAAGTTTTCCATATATGTAATCAAACAATTCATCTTAATCAGACACGGCCTTCAAATCCACGTATTATGATCCTTTCTTTATGTATAAGTGGCATCCAAAAGTAAAAAAATCATCAGAATGTAAAAAACATCAAATTTATTCAATATTATATACGTTCTCTTAAATTTAAATCATCATCATCATAGTCATTAACATCTTGGCAGATGTGTTTTGGTTCATAATTAAGCTTTAGCAGCATATAATTATATATTTAAATATTATTTGCAATGTTAGTTTTGTCTGACAAAATTAGTCACGGAGATGCGCGATGATTCATATAAGAATCATACTAATTTCTCTAGTCTCTAGAATACATGTGAGCATATATTCATAAAAAATGTCGTATTTGAATAACGTCGACTTAAATATGATTGAAAAGGAAAGTTTACCTTACCTAGGTTTAAAATGAGGTAATTATTTGATTTTGTGTGTGAAAGACACACTCAAAATAAACTCTCAGTTAATTTTATTAGTGGAAAAGTTCTTCTTTTAGTGTCTCTACTTATATTATCGAGTTGCCCATCCAAACCGTCAACGCCTAATTAGTAAATTGATTTTAATAAACCTAATTAGAAGACAAAATACACATGTTCTGATTCGATATATTTCTTTTTATTTGATGCCAATTACATAATTATAATTTTTTATATCTAGTTTTTGCGATAAAGTTAACAATTTTTCAATAATAATATAACAAATTAATCAGTTGTATCTCTTTTATACTTTATTAGCCAAAACAAACAGCATCAAAAATTGTTAAGACTAAAAAATTGTTTTTGCAGGCTATAAATTTTGCAATGGAGTATTATTTACAGTCATATGGATTTTAATAAACTAATGGAGAAAATTTAAAAGTAATATAAAAAAATCTCAGTCACATCTTAGAATGCTAGTTACAAAAACTGCAATGACTTGCTCACGTCGGAATTATGGGTATGACTGCCATCACTATTACATTTTATGAAAAATGTAAATAAATCTCGCCATTCAAATTGCAAGATAATTCGTAAGAAATAATTACCAATGGTTAAAAACCATAGCACATGCATTTTAAATATGAATTTTAAATTATATTTTACGGATATGCAAATTACCTTGCAATTTGAATGGTGAGATTTATTTACATTTTTTATAAAATGATTTTACTGATTTATTGGAAGATCTGTCATCAAACTTAAGGCTAAATATTTGGTTTATACAAGATGGTACACCAATACATTACAGAGAAAAGGGAGTGAGAACAGTATTTAAAAACAACTTTTCTGAACGTTGGATTGTTTGTGGTAGTCATATTCCTTGGTCATATGGTAAGATATTAATATAATTATTTAATTCATAAAAATCCCAAAAGAACACCTATTATTATACTTCTTATAATACTTATAATAATTACTGCAGCAGTTTCTTTAGAACCAATGATGCTGTTTAATATGAGACGATATTTTATGGAATGTATTGACAAATGAAATAAAGAAAATGGTGGACATATCGAACACTTACTTTGACAACAAGTTAAATGTTATTTATTGTAAACATTTATTAATTTGGTTTGTAAATAAAATGTTTTGATTATGACTTTAATTTAATATAAAACGTAAAATGTTTGATGTAAAATCCAATTATTCTGTTCTTTTATCAAATTCTATTATTATTATCCTACTGATATATTTATTTTATTTAACATTTCGTTAACTACTAACTTTATTAAAGGTATTTTATAACAAAATTCAGAAGGATTGATGTTTTTATCTATTTTTTCTTTTATTGCCTGGACTATTTGCGTTAAATCAGAATTAAGTAGTTGATTTGTAATATGCGATTATCTCGAAAACTGTTGAGTTTTGAAGTTATTAACAGCTATACCTTTTTTTGTTAAAATAATGAATCTTTAATATTTTTTATCAAAAATACCGGTAACTTGGAGAACAAAAAAGTTAAGTGCAAATATATGCCACGTATGTGGCATATGTGGCGCCCTCTGTTGGCTGTATTAAAATATGCATTAAATTATAATTCCTGATATTGGGTGGTACCCAGTTTTAAATTTTTATACATAAATGTTTACAAACGTAAAAGTTATAGCGAAAAGTAAAATTTTAAATTTCCAATTTAACACCCTGTATCTTTTTTAATATCAACATTTTATTAAAGCAAGTTGGCTTAAATCTTAATATTTTAAAGAGTAAAATCTGCGGTTTTTTTTTGTACAATTACTTAAGGACCACCCTGTATATGTAACGCTGTTATGACTTGAGTTAGTGGATAAGATATTTTCGTGTGTAAATTATAAATAAATATACTTAAATAAATTAAGAACCGCTCGTTTTAGTTAATCTCGCTACAGTATTCATTCATTCCGGATTGTACAGATTATACACTTTTTACGCCCAGGGGTTTATCAGAGCGACTTCATTATAACACAAAAGACATAAACCACAGTTAGATAGGTGGGCAACAAATAGATACACATACGAAGTAAATATCTATTCAAACGATCAATTTTTTTCATTCACACTTTTATAGTTGCAACTTTAACCATAGCTTTAGAAAGCCGCTTTCAAAGTTAATATGACGTATATGATTAGATTAAATTAAATTGAAAATGTTAAACACTTCTTAAATTACTTGACTTAGTTAAGGAAAAAAGTAGAAAAATAAGTAAATATGGTTTTAACTTACACTATATTTCAACATCATATTGTTGCTCCAGCAGTCTCCATGTACGACAACGGAATTTGGTCCTTTATAATGTAGACTACGTCGGAAAATTTCTACACCATTTTTAACATAGGGTTGAATTTTACTAATAATATCGTTTTCATTATTCCGCCGTAAAATTTCCTCCATTATAGCAAAATCGTCTACAATTTCGGTTTTAATCATTTCTAGACCTAAAAATCCTTCCCAGTTGTTGGACAAAGGTTTTACTAATGTTTGAAATTTTTCCTTTTCGTGATATTTAAATGCGAAAGAAAGGGCATGGTATCGACCATATAGCGCAAACATTTTTGAGTACAATTCTTTTGAAACAGGTACTGTTTTTGGATGCACCGCATAGTTCTTATATTTTAAATTCTCTAAAATAATTTTCTCATTACCTTTTACCCGACAGTCTCCATAACAGTGAGCTAATATATCCAAAGGTAACACTTTGGTAAACTTTTCTTGAAACGCTTTTAGCGCTGGCCATAATTCTGTGTAAAAATAAATCTCGTTGAAATATGAAGACGACAAAAAGTCTATAGTGGTTTCCACTTCACTTGGCAATACTATTTTAACAACCAAGTGATCTTCTTTACCAGATGTTTTGTGTTTTAAAGACACGAAAAGTATTTCTCCAACAAATCCTTCACCTTTGTCATTGGTACCATGCACTGTAACTTCAAAATTATCTATGTTTTCCCCTACGGACTTTTGAATTAAATCACTAATATCCTTCGGGAGGTTGCTCATTGTTTAAATAACCTGTACCTATCAGTCGTAAACACGCAACACAACTGTACAATGAACGACCTTCACTCTGTGAGATTCGCAATCCCAAAATATGTCGGCAAATTGGTAGACTTATTTTATAATTTATTATAATGATGATATAACGCAGATTACGAAACTTAATGTGTGAACCTAAAAATAAATATAAACGGCCGCAGTTCAGGGTCTTTTTATTTAAGGTGACAGGTTATATTTATGTAGATAGTGCTATACTTTTGCTTGACGATATAGTTTAAAAGATAAGATAAAAGATAATATTATGAAAATGCAGGTGTCGAATAATTTACAAAAAAATATAACTATGAATGATCTTGACAAAACGTGAACTTTAATTTTTTACACATTATTTAATCTTTTTGAATGAAATTAAAAGGAAATTAATCTTTCAGAATTGATATAATCTATCTAAAGATGCAGGTGCTGTAGTAATGAGGACACATCCTACAGTGTGGACTCAACTTCTAATACAATTAATTTTTGTTCTTTTTAGAACAAATCTATTACTACTACTGTTACGCTGTTACTTTTAAATCTTATTTAGACATTTTCCAAATAAATATAAATATACTGTGGGTCATAAATATACTATGGGTCAAACGATTTTATTCAGAAAATCTTACGCTGTTGGGTGTTTCTGTAGATCTCGCAGACAGTAAAGAACTATAGGTACCAATTTTTATCGCTGAGTTTTTATTTAGGTCTCTGCTTGGAGAAACATTGTGTGAACAAATATTTGATAGACCTGATGAAAATGTAAATAAGAAATGCGAAATGTTTATGCTATAAGTATGTATATGTGTTTGGTGAGTTGTCTTGAAAACACGTCTTTTAGCAACAGAATTGTAATATAAGATACTAGTTTTTAAATAATGTATCCCACTTTAAAAAAAAGTTACATATTAGTTCGTATACTTCTCTACTATCTAAAGAGAGTTAATGTGTGATGTTTATGGAAGTCTGAATTTTAAGTTTTGACAGTTTTGAATACAGCTGATGTTAGGTTCTTAAAATAATGTTTATAATATGTGTTAAAAATGAATTTTATTTTATATAAGGCGTGATGTTACAGAAATAAAAAGGCGCCATATATTTTTTTTGACACTTAACCTATTTTGGCGAGAGAAGAAAAAGGAAAAGGTAATGAAACAAAAGTCGGCTATCAGAAAATATGTATAAACGATGAATGGTGGAAATGGAACCATAGTACCGAAAAACTAGAGAAAATGAAAAAAAACTGAGTCTACACAGGCACAGTGGTCAGGAAAATATGGAAACGAATAAAGCGCGGAATAGGATGATGATAGGACAATGGAATGTTAGAGGAACTTTTGAAGTAGGGGCACTAAAGAACTTATCAGATACGTTAGAGAAATATGAGATAGATATTGCAGCTATACAAGAAACTAAACAAAAAGGAAATTTCACCATGGATGTGGGGAACTACGTGTTTTTCAACAGTGGAGACAATGAACGTGTATTTGGGGTGGGATTTTTTATAAAGAAAACATTTGCCAATCTGATGATAGATTTTGAGGCAGTCACAAGCAGATTATGTTAAATAAGAATAAGAGGAAAATATAGAAAAATAACCTTTATAAATGCATGCACCAACAGAAAATACAGATGAAGACGTTAAAGATAGCTTTTATGAACAATTAGAACATATGTTTTACAAAATACCATCATATGACATAAAAATAGTTGTAGGAGATTTGAATGCCAAGATTGGCAGGGAGGATGTATACAAACAAATAACAGGGGGAAAAAGTAAACATAGAGATAGTAATCTGAATGGAAAAAGAGTAATAGAATTTGCTTTCGAACACAATATGCGAATTATGAGCACTTATTTTGATCACAAAGAAATTCATAAAGGTACCTGGATATCACCAGATGGACAAACAGTAAACCAAATAGATCATTTCCTAATAGAAGCCAAACATATGAGAGCCATAAAAGATAGCCGAAGTTACAGAGGTGCTGATGCAAATTCGGACCACTTTTTGGTCAAAATTAAAATGGAGCAAATAATACCCACAATTAATAAAGCTAGTTGTAAAAAAATAAAAATATATAACGGTGCACTACTTCAGGAGGAAGAAGTTAGGAAAAAATTCAGGCAGCAAATTGAAGAGAAACTGAAAAGCCAGACAACAGTAAATGATATAGAAAGCAGATGGGTACAACTAGAAGAAAAAATTCAAGAAGCAGCCGACTCAGTATTATCAAGAAACAGACAATGTAAACAAACGGATTGGTATGATGAGGATTGTAAGAAAGCCATTAGTGACAGAAATAAAGCTAGAATAAATAGCATAATAAGAAATAATAGAGTAAAAAAGCTTATGCCGAAAAAAGACGGGAAGCAAAGAAGATCTGTAAAAGGAAGAAGCGCTCAAGTTTAGAACAGAAACTAGTTCGTATTGAAGAAGATTTTTTACATAAACAAGTCAGGAATTTCTACCAAGAAATAAAACGAGACCGAACCCAGTACAAAACCACATCAAGATATTATAAAGATGAAGAGGGGAATCTCTTAGGTGGAACAGATGAAAAATTAAGAAGGTGGGCCAGTTATTTTGAGAACATATGATTATGTACGGACGACCAAGATGAAAGAGAACAAACGCAACTACAACATGAAGAAGTAAGGGACACAGATGTAAATGAAGAAGTACCTACCAAGGAAGAAATTATAGAGATAATAAAAAACTTAAAAAACAACAAAGCACCTGGTGAAAATGGTATCATTGCTGAGTTTTTAAAAGAAGGTGGTGAAATGGTACAAGAAGAAATCACTGAGTTAATACGCGAAGTGTGGATCAAAGAAAAAATACCCAATCAGTGGAAAGAAGCAGTCTTATGTCCAGTGCATAAAAAAGGAGACGTTACAGAATGTAAAAATTACAGGGGAATAGCTCTACAAGATACAGTGTATAATATTTTGGCCATATCAATTAGAAATAAAATTAAAACAAAAGTTGAAAATTGTCTAGGTGAATATCAAGCAGGTTTCAGAGCAAACAGATCGGTAACTGACCAAATTTTTACAATGAAACAAATTTTAGCTAGCTCATATGAATTCAACCTAACAGTACACATGCTGTTTATTGATTTTAGAATGGCATATGATACTATAAAAAGAAATAAAGTATATTATGAAGCACTAGAATATTTTGAATTTTCACCAAAAATAGTAAGACTGACTAAATGCATACTCAATGATACTAAAAGTAAAGTCATGTTAGAAGGACGGGTTTCGGATAGTTTTATCACCAATAGAGGTCTGCGACAAGGTGATCCGTTATCAACAGATTTTTTCAATTTAATATTAGAGAAGGTTTTACGAGAATGTAACATCTACACTAGAGGCACAATATATCATCACAGACATCAATGTGTAGCATATGCAGTAGATGTTACCTTAATAACAAGGAGACCTGCAGAATTAAGAGAAATCTTTATTAGAATAGAGAGAATAGCCAGAGAATATGGTTTAGAAATAAACGAAGAAAAAACAAAATATATGGTGATGAGGGGAAACGAAAATCATCTAGGAGAGTCCTTTAAGGTACAAAGCCCAAGTAAAGAATATAACTTTGAAGTTGTTAGCCAATTCGACTACTTGGGAGTGACACTAACAAATAGGAACGAAGAGAACCAAGAAATCATAAAAAGAATGGCCAAAGGTAGTAAGAGTGCTGGGAGCCTGACTAAGATACTGAGGTCGAAGATAATATCCAGAACAGCAAAAAAACGAATATATACAACAGTTATCCGACCTACAGTACTCAATGCTAGCGAGACCTGGACACTAAATAAAGATATGGAAGTAAAATTAGATAGATGGGAACGAAAAATTCTTAGAAGGATATACGGAGGTGTAAAAGAGGGGAACATCTGGCGAAGAAGAACGAATGAAGAAATAATGCAAATATATGGACAACCAAAAATAACAAGACTCGCGAAAATTCAAAGATTAAGATGGCTCGGGCATATAGCAAGAATGAAGGAAGGAAGAGTTCCCAATGAATTAATAAACACGGAGGCTGGTACAAAAAGAAAAAGAGGCCGCCCCAGAAGAAAATGGCTGGAGTCGGCAAAAGAAGATCTGAAGTCGCTGCGGGTACAAGATTGGAAAAACTTAGCACAAGATAGAAAGAAATGGAAGAAAACCGTTGAAGCCTTGGGCCTTTGAGGCCTGTTGAGCTGAACTATATATATAACCTATTTTTTACTACCTTGTGACACACTACAGTTGTTACTAAAGATAGGAACTTGCTGTCATTGTTGCCAACACAACATTTTAAAGGTTTGCTCCCAAAATTTAGTGTACTCTAACAGCTGATCTGTTTCATACTTATGTTTATCGCACTTAAAAAGAATATGGTTGATCATTATCGTCTGAGCATACCTCAGAAGGGATGATATTTAACTTAGCCAAGTGAGCTGGGAACGCACCGTGACTAGTGTTCGGACGTGTAATTGTGGCTGTCAACTTATTTAGCATTGCGTATTTGACAATATAACCAACATCTTGAGGTAAGGTAGGGTGGAAGGATGGTTGATGGTTATTTGAATTCGTTGCTATGTTTTTCCATTTTTCTTTCCAATTTATAAAAATCTTGTTATAATAATGGTGTTGTAAGCCTCCCAATGTGAATATAGGAACATATACTTCAACATGGGTCGCATCTTTAGCAAGCTGATAAACCTATTCATTTCTCTCGATACCAGTGTGACTTTTTACCCAAATAACTGTAATATTTTTACTATATGTTCTATTTTTAATAGCACAAAAATACATTACAATTCTGTGTATTTAGGTATAATGACTTTTGGTTTATTAAATGTTACCTGAAACTCAGCTTTATATACTGGTAACCTTTTTTTTACCATAGATATTAGAATACTCACTAGTTTTTAAGAAATCATCTGCAAGTGGAGGACAATTTTTTATG